TATATATATATATATATATAATTAATATGTACGCCATGAAAACGTCTTTGGATGTATTGCAGGTGGGGCGCGACTGTGTTGCGGTCTTGTTGGAGGGAATGAGGGCTTCTTCGTTCTCGCTAGCCTCTCCTCTTCCCCTGGTGCTGCGCTGCCTAGCCGGCTTGTCTCTCAGCTTTTCCCAGCTGCTCACCGCCGCCCTTTCCTCTCCGGAGCTGCCTCTAAACTTCAGTACCGTCGCATTGCTTCAGCTCGCCTGTGCTTCATCTGCTGAAGACATCGCCGTTGCGCTGTGCCGCAACACCCTTACCCTCAACTGCCTCCGGGGGCCCCCAGGGGCCCCCTCAAGGGGGCTCTTGCGGCCGGGGACACTTGCGCAGCTTCTGCTGCTCAAGAAGGGCCCTCCCCACTTGAAGGCCCAGCTGGTGCTTAGTTACTACATCCTTTGTATCGACTTGGAGCAGCAGCAGACTCAGCGGCTGTTGGCTGCAGCAGCAAATGGCGGTGCAGTGGCTTCACTGCAGCACTTTGCTGAAGAAGCTGCTGCGGTTTCTAACGCCCTGCAGTCCCTTTTCCACGAATGCTCACAAGGGCCTCCAGGGGTCCCTGCTGCTTCCGCAGGGTCCCCTGCTCTCTACGTGGGGGCAACTTCTGCTTCCTTAGGGCTGCCTTCTGCCTCATCGGGGGCTCCTTCTGCTTCGGTTGGTGAGGGGGAAGGAGAAGGGGTGGGTATCTCCTTTGATTGCTGCGGTTTGCGGTGGGGACCGTTTGCTGTTGCAGAGATGTTGGGGCTGCTTGATCTGCGGCAAGCGCCTGCAGCAGCAGCAAAGCTGTTGCACCGGAGTTTGCCGCGGGCCCTGCTGCTGATGCTGCTGTGTTGCAGCTCGCAGCCAGCAGCAGAGGAGCAGACGGCATTCACAGAAACCTGCGGTCTCATTTTGGGAGACTGCATGCAGCAGCAGGACCAGCAAGCAGAGCTGGTTCAGCGCTTGGGTGCCTTGATATCCACTCAGCTCTTTGGGGGGCCCCAACAGCAGCCCTGGCAGCAGCAGCAGCGGGATAGTTTTCCAGCATCCACTGCAGAAGAAGTGCATGCAATTCTGAGAGCTCTTATTCCGCAGGCCTTGGCTGTCTCCCCTTGTCTGTCTCTGAGGGGCCCCAACAGTTTGCTGTTTCGATTCATATTCAACGGCTTCTTGCATTCTTGGCAGGCCTGGGGTCTCCAGTCGAAGCAGCCCCAGCAGCAACAGCAGGAAGAACAGGAGACGGATGCGGTGATGGAGGTTCTGAGTGCGCAGACAAACTACGCGCGGTCCTCTCTATTGCAGCTGTTGTCTCCGTTGCTCTCTGAAAGCAGCGCCTGTGTCTCTCATCAGCAGCAGTTGCAGCAGCGCGATACAGCAGAGCTGCTGGGATTGCAATGCTGGCTATTCGTGTGTGAGTGTGGGTTGCACGCATTTGCTGCTGCGCTGAATTGGGGTGCTAAAGAAGCGTTGAAGCAGCAGGTGCAGCAGGATGGAGGCTGCTTCTTCAGCCTGCCTTACGCTGCGCTGCAGCGGTGGCAGCACCTCGTCGCTGCTGCTGCTGCCTTCCTTGAGAGCAACACAAACCCCCCAAACCCCCTTGCTGCTGCAACTCTCTCCTCTTTGCTTGTCCGTAAACTGGAATACCAAACTGCTGCTGCTGCTTGAAGTTATCATGGGGCTCCCGCCGCATCTTCAGTGCCGCTGAACCTTGCTGCTGCGGCTGTTACTGCTTGTATTGTGCTGTTGCTTGCTGCCGGTGTTGTCGTTGCTGCTGCAGAGGTTGCTGCTTCTGCTTTGTTTGCTGCTGTGGTGGGTCCCTCAGGACTACCCGGAGGTGTTGACAGCTCTGCAGCAGTACTCCTTTCCCTCTGCCGCTGTGGCTGCTGCTGCTGCTACTTCCGTTTTAACCGAGGGCGAAGCTGCTGCAGTACAAAGGGAAAGCTGCAGCAGCAGCTGCGTCGCCATCATGCTGCTGTACACTATAGCCAAGGTGCACAAGATACCGTACTTCAGGGGTGTGTTTTACTTCTGTTGTTGTTGCTGTTGTTGTTATGATTGTTGTTGGTGCTGTAGTGCTGCTGCCACCGCTGTTTATTTTGCTGCTGCTGCTGCTGCTCCATTTAGGGCTGCTTCTGCGGCTACTGCTGCTTCAGGTTTCTGCGGCTGTTGCGGTTGCTCCCCATTTTGCCTGTGTTATTGCTGGTGTACCCTGAAGAGCTACTTCTGTTGCTGGTATTGCTTCTGCTTCTGTCGCTGCTTCTTGTCATGCTGCCCTTGCTGCAGCTGTGGTTCTGTTGCTGTTGTCGCTTCCTGCTGTACTGCTGCTGCAGGTGCTGCTAAAATAAAGCAATAGCTGTTGCTGCTGCTGCCTTTTGTCCCGTTTCACCGCAGCTTTGTGATACTGCTTGTGTGTAGTGTAACTGTGCCTACAGTTGAAGGAGCCGCTGGTGTTCTGCTGCTGCTGCAGTACGGCTGCTGCTAGTACTGCTGTTGTATATGACTGTATTTAAATGTAGTTTGACTACTTATTATGCGAACCTTTGTTTGCATGTGCTGCTTGTTTGCCTCAGCGCGCGACTGTCGCTATTTGCGTCGGCTTCATTCTTTGCCGTGGCAGTCTGCGCTTCATTTTCTTTCCTCTCAGTCTGTCTTTAGTTGCTCTAAATTCTGGACCATTTTAGCTTATGTTCTTCTCCAGTTTTGTTTGCTTCCCTTTTGTAATTGTTTTCCCCCTCCTCTATTTTTGCCTTCTCTTTTCTATGGTTTGTTTAGTTTCTCTGCCTTCTCAACTTTTTCTCGTAGATGCTAAACGTCAAATCCCTTTAACGTTAAGCGGTTTAGGCCTCCAGCTTCCCTGGGTACACTGTATGCCTGATTCTGTGCTGTTGCTGTTGCTTGTGCTTCTTTTGTTGCACTCCTGCTGTTGCCGTCCGTGCCGTTGCAGTTGTTGCTATTGGCGGTGGTTCTGTGTCATGCAGCCCTACATTGAGCCACTGGATGCTGCGCCTTTTTACGGAGGCCCTTCACGAGTGTTTGCCTGAAAAGGCTTCATTAGATTACCCCTTCTCCCCTGTGTCTCCTTTGCTGCTGCTGCAACAAGCATCTGCACACCCTGGAGCATTTATTGCTGCTGATGCTGCGCTTCCACTAGAAAGGTATTTTCACAGGACTAGCAGCTGTTTGATTGATTGGTGGTGTCTTCGATCCCAGCAGCAGAAATGGAAAGCGGTGCATTCTTGTTGTGGCTTTGTTTGTTTGTGCACCATTTTTACACTTCGTTTCGCCATTTCAAATTTTTACACTGTGGATTGGATATTCGCTTAACCGGTTTGTTCATTTGCTCGTTCTTCAAATTGTATCGTTTATGCTCTGGGTAGAATGTGTGCGGCGTTTACTCCGCAAAATTCGCGGGCATTAATGTCAAGCATAAATATTCGTCTTGCTTTCATATAAAATTGCATGAAATGTCAGCACTCCGTCGAGCCTCATTTGCCTATTTTATGGCCATTCATTGCATGCACGCAATGCGTACGTGCATACACTTAGTTTGTTGCAGGCATTGGGTGCATGCATAGAGGTTGTTTTGAGTGCATGCATTGCATTCATGCATGCAGGATACTTGCTGCGTTGATGGAATGTGTGCATGCACGCCTTTCAGGGCTGTTGCGGGTCTCGCCTTGGAGTCTTTCCCCCTTGCTGCCTGTAGCAGCAGAGACAGTGAAAGCAAGAAGCAGCAAACGTTCAACACGCTTTTGCCATCTGCTGGAGCTGTGCAGCGCTGCGTATCGCTTTGGATGCAAACGTCAGCATATTTTATTTGTTGCGTTGTTGCGCTTTTTTATGTTGCCTTTCCGTAATTCTTTTTGTCTTCCTGTTTGTTTGTTCGCATGCTTGCCTGTCTGCATGTTTGTTCGTCCATCTGCCTGTCCGTTTATTGGCTTGCTTTCTTGTTTAAGGGATTGCTTCATTTTTTTGGTTTCTTCATTCGTTTGTTTGTCCGCTTTGATTTTTGTTTAGTTCCTCTTTCTGCACCTTTTTGTATATATATATATATATATATATATATATATA